TTCACAGCAAAATATTTCGATGTCGATTCGATACCATAAAGGACAGCTAAAACAGCAAGGAAAATGATTTTATAGTGTAGAGATAAAAGTTCTATTTTACACTCTAAATGGAGAAGATTATTTTCTCTTCCCAAAGTTTTTCCTTGTTAAAAAAGATTTCGCGGGTTTTCTAGTTGCTTGCACTGAAAAAAAGGGTATACGATCTCATTTTTATAGCAACATGAGCATTTGTTTGTACAAATTTGAAGTCCAAATTATTCTACTTTTTTGGAAAAATGTTTCTGCAGAAAACTTCAGATCTTGCCCGCAAAATTTCATAAATGCTCAGGAACTGCGTGGTAGCATTTCCATGATTGAATTTCGTATTCAATCAAGTGATTTAGAATTTCCTACATAGACCTCCAAGAAAGATGTGCTTTCTAAAATTTTGTTTTATTTGCTTACCTCCAGCCGGTGCTGAGAATGTGCAAGCGATACCGACAGCACAACCGCTGCTCAGCATCTCCATGTGTCGACCTTCATTTGAGAAAAATGCATTATATTGACATGCTGCAGTTGCCTTATTAAGAAGTGATGCAACTATAGCACCCATATGTACAAATGGACCCTAAATTGTTAAGCTTTCAAACATTTTCTATGAGATAGAGATACTCTTACCTCTTTCCCGACTGGCATTCCTCCACCAAGGGTTAGAGTTAAGCCGACGATCTTAGCGATGAGCGTTTTGAGGGAGAGATAGTTTCGTAGCGCGAAACCGTGCATGATCACCTTCACTTCTGGTATACCGGATCCTGAAAGCTTTTTTTTTAATAACAATGACGACAGACTTTTTTCCCATAAATTCAACGAGATGCTATACCTTATACGACATCTAAGAAAAACCTCCTATACGAGATAAGTTACTTACTATGTGTGCAACTGAAAAGTTAAAATTTTAGAAGCCTTAACGAACACTTAGAAGAAAAGAATTTTGAAAATTACTATTATGCACTTTTTATAGGC